GATCGTCCATCTGCTGGTTCATTTTCCAAATGGCTGCGACACCCAGGACTAGGTCAAGTACAAAGCAGGAGCCTAGAATTCCATCTGAGTCTCTAATATGAAGGGCAGGAGCCAACTTCTACTGCTTTCCCAGATACATCAGCAAGAAGCTAGACTGGAGATAGAGCAGCTGGGACTTGAACCAGTGCCCATATGGGATGCTGGCACCACACGCCGCAAGTTTAGCTCACTGTATAACTTCAACCCCTATCATCATCATCTTATGGAAAGAAACATGACCATGGAAAGAAACACGGCCACAGGCCAAAGTCACCACCCTTTCACCAGCACCTGATGTTGCTCAGTGCTCCTTCTTCCCCATCCTCCTGCCTAAGAAGACCTTGACAGAGGAAAGGAGGTGGGAGGAGCTCCTGGGGGGTTACTCCAGAGAAAGGCCTTGAATCCAAGTTCCACAGGAAGCAGTGGGGCCACCTGGAGAGTGACAGTGACAGCCCTAGTGTGGGCTCCAGGAACACCCCTTGCACTCTGAAGCACCCTGAGGCAAGCTTTTGTCCAGCCAGCACAGGACGCCAGGAGCACCCTCGGGGTTCCTACTGTGTGCTTAGCATGGAAGGCAGGGGCAAGAGATGCAGGTTGAACCCAGAGGTAGCTCACCAACCCAGTACACATGGAACAGATTGTGTGTTCTTTAGACTCACTTCCTTAGAGCCCAGGGCAACCAAGCGCCGCATGACTGAAGATTCTTATTCCACCAAACATGCCCCCACCTCACTGAAATCCTACACAATCCCTAAGGAACAATTCAGAGAAAAGGCAGACCAGCTGCCCAGCTACAACCTTGTATGATGATTTAGCTGAAGCCCACAAAGAGCCACTGAGAAGTCTGCAGCACATTCGTTTAGTCAGCAAATCTTACTAAGCACATGTTGGGTGCCAGGCACTGTGCTGTCAGCAGGGGTCCAGCCAAGCACAATCTTTGAATTCATGGGGTCTGCACCCCTAGAAGAAGGAGACAAGGGTAGACATATTGCCTCGAAGTTAAGATGCCAGTGAGGGAATGGGCATTTGCCCCAGTGTTTAAGACACTGGGTGTTGGTAGTCTGGGCCTTCCAGCTTTGACCAGAGGCTCCTGCTGCAAATACGCTCCGCCAAGTGCTCGGCCAGGCCAAGCAGCAACCCAGCTTGGTTCCCCTCTCCATATTTATTGGAGCAGGAGGGACTGGAACTGCACTGTATGTCATGCATCTGACTTTGTTCAATCCAGATGTCAGTTGGGACAGAAAGAATAACCTAGAACCCTGGAACAAACTGGGTCCCAATGCAAGTATGTTATGGTAAACTGAAGGTCCAGACTTCTAAATGACATGTGTCACTATAAAGCTGCTTAGAATGAAGGTCTTCTAGAAGCCATTCACACAATTTTCCACTTAACCAGGAAATACTTCTCCAAAAGCATGCGATCAGGTTGATTTATTGGAGCTTATTACACTAAATAATAAATATGTGAAACTTAAAAAAAAAAAAAGACTCTGGGTTTTGGGAATTCTTTGCAGTTCAACATGCTTAGGCTTAGGAATTAAGCAGTGGCAGGTGGGGATCCGGTATGAGGCTTCTCCCTGTCTTCTCAAAGTTAGATACTCTTTTATTCCAGGGTTACCTTCAACAACTTTATGGGATGCATGGGAACTCCCAAGCTCAGAATGGCCCATTGCCTGAGAAAGGTGATGATAAAGTGAGGAAGACCTGCATTTTGGTCAGGGTGTCAAGGAAGCCTTTGTTGTTGATTGAGTCAACCACCTGCAACCTAAATGCTAGAAACCATTAGTATAAACAATAAGACTTTGTTAATATGTTACTGGGTTTCTGTGATCCTTCCTTTTCCTTTTCTTTTACAAGACCATCAGATCTTTGTAGAGACAGATAAAAAGAAACTTAATAAAGCCACTGGCATGCAACAACTGGGTCACCCACATCCCATATTGGAGTGCCTGCATTCAGGTCCTGGCTTCGCTGTCCACTCTAGCTTTCTGCAAATGTACAGCCTGGGAGATGGCAGGTGACAGCTCAAGTAGTTGGGTCTCTGCTACACACACAGGATATCTGCACTGAGTTCTAAGCTCCTGCCTTTGGCCTGGTCCAGCCTAGGCTGCTACTGGTATGTGGAAAATAAACCAGTCAATGGAAGATGTAAGTCTCCCTGCTTTTCAAAAAGAAAAAGAAAACTTTTTAAAGAATGCCAAGTTCAATAACTGGCTCCAAATCCTCAGTCCAGTGTCTGCTTATGCACACCCAGGAGGCAACAGGTAAGGGCTTAAGTCATTGGGTTCCTTCCATCCACCTTGGAGACCTGGATCAAGTTCCCAGATCTCAGCTTCAGCCCCACACAGGAGTCACTGCAGACACGTGGGGAATGACCCAGGAGATGGGAGCTGTCTCTATCTCTCTACTCTTCAAATATATATTTTAATGTCAAATAGGGAAGACAGAGAATAGTGTAATAGCTACCCCAAATCAATGTTTGCATTGACCTGGGGGCTCTGCAGTAAGGGAGTGTAGTCAAGACATGGGATGGTGCTATGTAGACATGCTAGGGGCTAGGAGGAATGGGGCAGGAGCTGAGCTGGGGAAGGGGCACTGTTCCAGCAGACAACCCAGTGTGGGGAAGGAAGAGTAGGCTGAAAGGTTGAAAAGCAGCCAGTATGGTGGGAGGCAGGAGGGTCAGAGGGGTGGATCTTACAGACCCTTGGGGCATCCACATCACAAATGAGTACTGGCTCAAGTCCCAGCTGCTCCACTTCCTGCATAACTGCCTGCTAATGCCCCTGGGAAAGCAGCAGCACATGGCCCAAGTGCTAGGGCTCCTGCAGCCACATGGATGAAGTTCCTGACTGGTCACTGTTGAGTAGATGGTAGGTGAAAAATCTCTCTCTCCTTCCCTTTCTCTGTTGTTCTTCTCTCTGTAACTCTACCTTCTCTTAAAGGGGAAGGGTTTCTTAGTCTCAGAAGGAGGGTGCTAAGCGTGTAGCAAAAGGAGAGATCACCTGATCAGACATGCATTGCTGGGACTCTGCTGTGCAGAAGGGGGAGGGATTGGAAGGCAGACACAATGAAAGCAGGGAGACCTCTACCGTGGCCCAGGAAACTGACTGGGTTAAAATGTGGGTGATAAACCGTGACCTGAAACCTGTGACCCAGGTGAGCTGGTCTGCTGAGGGAGAGAAAGGGGCGTTCTGAGGTGAGTCCCAGCTTCCCCACTCTAACACTGGGTGGCAAACCTGGTTGCTGGCAGAGCTGGCAACTGAGTAAGAGAAACAGGCTTGGAGGGAGGAGGAGACATTCTGAACAGGGATGAATCACCTGTGATTCCAGCAGGTCACTAGTTTGGAGGAAGGGAGCTCCAGACAGCGCCTGCATTCCCTACCTTCCAGAGCAGTCACTCCAAGCATCCATCCACTGCCCCAGCACACACTGCAGCGAAGGGCTCTCATAGGTACTCCACACAGGCAACAGAACGTCCAAAGTGCCACGCTAACAGGTGCCAGAGGACAAAAGTCCACCCCAGGAATCTCTGCTCATGTCTCAGGGTAAGAAGGAGCAGAGCAAGGTCAGCCCTTTTTTTGCACGGGGCTTGGAGTACATCCAGGAACCGACTGCAGGAAAGAGGGTGAGCTGTGAGGATCCCACAAAGGGGGCAGAGATCACAGTAGACGGGATCACCAGGGGGATCCATTAGTAAAAAGAAGGCAGTCCCTGGTCCCCAGCGGTTGTAGGCCTGGTCGCACAGAAGGACGCGGCAGGGCCAATCTAGCCCTGGCAGAGGTTCCCCCCACCCTTACCTTGCAGTCTGGCCTTGCTTTCCCTCAGTCACCCACAGGCTGACACTGCCTGTCTTTAAAAGGCTCTCAAGTCTTGATTAGAAGCTATGGGGACATTTTCCCTGAAGGCACAGGAGCACAGCTCCCCATAATTATATCAGCAAAACCTAGGAGTCAGTCCGCACCGCCCCGCCAGCTGCCGCCGCTGCCTGTGCTACCACCTCCGCCACCCATGAGAAGTGGCCACCCGCTGGCCTTTGAATACTCCTCTTCCTGCCCCAAAACTTTCTGATCCCCTCAGCCGCCACCCCACCTCCTGCAAGACGTGTCTCAGCGCCCAATCTCTCCGCCCGGTACACAGCAGAGCCCCGTCGGAGGCCACGGGGCCAGGGTCTGCAACGCTGAACAGCCCCTGTCACCCGACGCGAGTCCTGGAGTAAAGGGCTCACACAGTCATCGCGCCCCCCGAAGAGCTCAGCCGGTCTGCCCCGCGCGGCAGCGCTGGGTCCAGGTGCGCGGTGGCTCCTTGCACAGGCAGCAGCCTTGAGGATGACACAGCGTTTCCCGCACCCCGGCTCCATCCGGTGGGACACCCGCCCGCCAGCCCGCGGCGACAGCGAAACCTCACCGCGCGCGGACCGGGCTTGGGGTCGCGGACCAGGAGCGCAGCCGCCGGACGCGCGCGCGCTCAGCGCGAACCCGGGCGGCCAGCAGCTGGGAGGCAGCGTCAGTCTCACCACCCGGGGCGGGGGAAAAAAAGTTAGGAAGCATCCCGGACACGCAAACTTTGCCTCCCCGGGTCGGCGCTCGAATTTGGCGCCCGCAGGAGGCCTCTGCCCAGCCCAGGACAGACCCCGAGGGAGCTGTTGGAACCTGGGTGCCAGGGGCTCCGGGGCCGCGGTCGGCGGCGGCCAATCACAGAGCATCTCGGGCGGGGAAGGCTGGAGGGCGCGGGTAACCGGGGAGCGACGGCGCCAAAGGCCAATAGAGAGGCAGCGTGGAGAGTCCTCACCCGCCCCCCTGACCAATGGGAAGGGACAGCCGTGGCCGAGGTCCCCGAGGCACCAGCTGCAAGCTCTGGTGGCCGCGAGTGGGAGACCCTCGGACGGAAGGGGACTTTGAAGGGGAGTTTGCGCGCCCTCCCGGTGCCACCGCTGACCTGCAGCCCGCAAGCCCGATCCTCACCTGCTGGAAGCGGGGTTTGCCCAGCTGGAAGGGAGGCGCATCGGTCGAGGTGTTAGCGGCACTGGCCGCCGCCGCCGATGCTGTAGTCGCTGTATCCGCCATGGCCACTGACACCCGCAATCCCCGGCCCTTTTAAAATGTCCCTCTTCGGCCCCCGCCACGGCGGCCTCTCCCGATTGGCCACAGGCAACCGCAGCGAGCCGGAGGCGCAGAGGGTTGTGGGGAGTGTAGTCTCTCGCGTCACGCTGCACGGTAACCCCGGACTGCAAGGGCGACATAGGGGTGCTGCGGTGCACAGCTGGGGCTCCATATCTGCCGGCCGCGAAGGGCTCACGCGCACGGACGGCCTGCGGGGCGCCGCTTCGCTGCTGCTCTGTACCCTGCAGTCGGAGCAGCCCAGGCCACCGGAGACCACACAGGCAAGGACTGCAGGCCGAGTGGGGTTCATCTAGGAAGGCCTTTTACAACCGGTAGCACTGCGGGGAGTTCCACGCACTTCTCGCTCGCCCGCCGCTCCTCCTCCTGTCCCTAACACCCACCCGCGATCCCAAGGACATTCTGCGCCCAGAAGAGTAACTTTGATCTTCTCGCACTGCTTCTCTCTGACCCTAACCTGAATATTTGCGTTTTCCTGTCCATCAGACACCTGACTTTCCCCAGTTATGCCACGGTTTGGCATGTGTAACTATTTCTGCTTTTCGGTACCTGCCTTTCCTCTACACGGTCTGTAGAGTAGGGGCTGTTACTTAAAACGTTAAAACTGAGTTGCCTGTTTTGATTTGAAAGGCAGAGCGCTAGCAGGGTCCTTGCCCCGCATGCCTCCTACAGCCAAGGCTAAGCTAGGTTAAGTCGGGAGCCCAGCTCCAGGGACTCAACTGCTGACGCCATCACCTGCCGCCTCCCAGGAGGAGCAGGCTGGAATTCAGACACTGTGACCCAGGATGCGGTGTCCCAGACGCTGTGCCACCTGCCTGCCTCCCGGCTGTGGCTTTCTGATTCCTGTGGAGTCTTCAGAGCCAGGCACAGGCGACTCACAGCAGGCATTCAAGTAACCTATGGGCTGGAGGTAACCAGGAAGCCTTAAAAGCCCCAGCAGCCTCTGCCTACACCTCCTTTGGTAAACTCCAGAAGACCACTCCCACCTAAAGCCTGCGGGGAGCAGTGCTGATCAAGTACCAGCAAGCAGAATGTTTATTTATTTATTTATTTATTTATTTTAATCTGAGAGGCAGATTTTACAGAGAGGAAAGACAGAATCTTCCATGTCCTGGTTCACCCTCCAAATGGCCACAAGAGTTACATCTAAGCCAATATGAAGCCAGAACCCAGGAGTCTCTTCCAGGTCTCCCATGCAGGTGCAGGGTCCCAAGGCTTTGGGCTGTCCTCTACTGCCCTCCCAGGCCACAAGCAGGAAGCTGAGAGGGAAGTGGAACAGGCAGGACTAGAACCGACACCCGTATGAGATGCTAGTGCTGCAGGCAGAGGATTAGCTTGTTGCACCACGTGGCAGCCCCCAAGAAGAACTTTCAATACAAGGGGATCCTGCGGTGGAGCAAGCTGCTGCACAGACAGCACACTCCTGCAGAATGGGTCAGTTCAAGACTCCTAGCTGGATTACCTGCCCACTGTACGAAACGGGGATGCCTCTGTCACCATGAGGGTGGCAGGACTATTTGGTCTCCGCTATGGGGAAGCCCACTTTGGTCTAACTGGACACTGCCTGGGCTTCTCTTTCACGAATAACCTGGAGAAACTCCAATCTCCCAGAAGATGCAGGGATTCCAGCTGATCCTGGACAGTTCGTATTTTGGATTTGTGTCTTATCTCCCTCTACCAGCCTGAGAACAGGAGTCAGTTCTATGGCCCTCCATGTTCCCCCATGGTACCCATGGATGAACCCATAATGCTCACCCAGGCCTATCCTGGGAGTGAGAAGAGACAGTCCAGACCCCGGGCCCACACTGTGCTGCCCCCTGATGGCAAGGCAGAGACTGGCTGTGAGGCTTTCCCCTCCACACACTCGCTCCAACACAGGAACACGACAGAGACACCTGCAGTAGGTGAACATTTTATTCTTCATAAAGTGCTCAAAACATGGAAGAACAAGCTCTTTATAAACAGGAGTTAGAACTAGGAAGACAAACAGCAAAGCAGAGCTTGAACTGCTACTCCCTGCCCAGACCCCCAGCAGCTCTCCTCCAATTTGTAGCCAGGAGCAAAAGTGATTGAGCAAGAACCATGGGGTGCATGCCTGCCCTGGACCCCAGGCGAGACCTGGAATTAAGGGTGAGTGGGAGACTGGAGCTGGGATGGGACTAGGGGGACACCTGGTGGGGGGACTGGCCTCCTCACTCAGAGAAGTTACTTCTCTGGCCCCCACATCCTCACTCCCTACTAACACGTGACTCAAGTCCCAGGCACCTGGCACCTATGGTCTCTCGGTGCTCATAAGGGGACTTCAAGGTGTTTAACTCTATTGGAGCTTTCCCTGTGTGTGCAGGAGATGTGTGGGGATTCCTCTGCTCCACCCTGGCAAGTGGATCCACAGGAACACATGTCCTCCCAAGAGACCCCAAAGGTACTCTGATCAAGAGATGGCCCCACAGGAGCTGGCTGCTCCACCCCAGGCCAGAGGTACGATCCCGTAGCACTCCTGTCCCCTCCAGCTTTTATTAACACAGGCTGTCCCCAGACACCAAAGGTTCCTTGCAGAAGCCAGGATGGGAGGAGGCCTGCTGTGTTCTCTACAAGAAAATGAGGGGCTGGGGGCCAAAGGGCAGACCCTTCCTTTCAGAGGATGCTGTGATCCAGGCCAGGCAAGTCCATGGGGGCAGACGGGACAGTCAGGGATGGCACAGTGGAACCTCCCACTTTCAGAACTGAGGCCAGGCTGAGTCAGACAGTGGAGCAGCCCCAGGCTCCCTGCCATCCAGTACAATCTATCCTCAGATCCTCCACCTGGAGGGAGGAGGTAATGGCAGAAAAGATGGAGGGAACTTGGCCAGACCCTCAACAGATTCACTGTAGCAGTGGGGAAGGACAGGGCTGCTCCACCTTCCACACACATTCCCCCCAGGCCCTGGCAGAGCTGTCTCCATGTGCTCAGACAGGAGGGGGGGACATCCAGGAGCGGGGGAGGTCTACGTCCAGAGGTGTTAGACCCCACCCACAAAAGGCACATTTTAATTGGTTTCTGGAAGTTCAAACCCTTGAGCAGCAGGGTGTTGGCATCTGGACAGGGAGCCAGAAGAGACATGGAGGTTTGATCCCCAAAACCTAAGCACCCCAGAGGCCCGACCTAGAAGGGCCCACATGTGGGAGGGGAGCCAAGAGGAGCCCCCGCCCACCTGGCCCCACCTGCCACACATTCCCAGCAAAAAGGTCACATGTGGGGATACGAAGCATCTTGGAGAACCCATGTCACCCATCTTCCCCCCAACACACGGGGTGACCACTCTGTCAGCAGCTGAGATGGACAGAGACTCAGGACACAGCAGAAACCAGGCTGGACCACAGCAGCTTCTGGTTCCCAGGGCAATGGGCATGAGACTGAAGAGTAGGTGCCCTGCTTATGCATAACCTACAGACGGGCAGCTTGGTCCCTGTCCCCATCCCAGGAACACTAGTAACCCCTGGAGGGGCTGCAGGATGAGGGTTTGGCGGTGGGAAAAAAAAAAGGCTGACCATCTATAAGGGAGCAGGGGCATTGGGGGCAGGGATAAGAATCTGGGCACAAGCCACCCCACACACCAAACCACAGTGTACCCCTAGCTCTGTCTTGAGGGCCAACTTCCTTATTCCAGTTCACTGAAGCCCCTGAAGCTAAAGGAGATGAAAAAGTGCAGGTAGGGAAGACCCAGGGTTCCCAGACACGCAAGGCGCACCTAGAACCTGATGTGTTCCTTCCGGCTGCCCTAATAGAGGCAGGAGGGAGAGGGGAGCAAGGAGTGACCAGACTATGGTCTCCCCAGGGAAGTGTTCAGCAGGAGGGCTGCTAGGCACTCAGCCCAGCCTCCCAAGGGGGCAGGGGCTTGGAGAGCTACTTGGGGGTGCCAGGAGGGATCTGCAGCAGGGTGGGCGAGGTCTCCATGATGCGCACTAGCAGCCGGTCGATGTAGCTCTCCAGCTCCTGCACATGCTCATTCCGCTGGCTCAGCTCCCGCTCCCGCTGCAGGAGCAGGCAGATGAGTTCATCATGTGTCAGGTGGTAATACTTGGCCGACTGGTCTGGCATGGCTGAGTCCTGAGTTCAAGGATAAAGAGTGAGCCAGGCAGCTCTGGGCCTGCCTGCCCACCCATTCTAGGCTCACCCCTGGACCTCTTCCCAGAGCCCTTGGAGCAGCTGCCTCTGCCTTCCTAGCCACCTCCTATCCCAGCTGACTTTGGGACTGTTGTGCACCCTCCCCAGCACCCTGCTCCATCACCCCCCAGTCAGGTGCCCATTCACCTTCAGCCTCTTAGTGTCCGTGCTCTGGCTAGGCTGGGGTGCAGGAGCCACCGGCTGAATGCTGCCCGACGTGACTGTCTTGAGTCTCTCCAGGCCGCTGCTCAGGGCAGTGCTCAAGCTGGAGCGGGACTGCTTCCTGTCGGGGCTGCCCTCCACGGGGGCCGCACTGAGGGGCTTCACGGGGTGAGGGCTGTGAAGACAGACACAGGACAGGTGATGGGGAGAGAAGAGCCTGGAACAAAGTAGGGGCCACCTTCCTGGTTGCAGCCTGCAGCCTGTTGGATGGTCAAGGTCTCCAGGCAGCAGTGCCTAGTGCTGTTGCATCCTTGCCCTGCTCAAGGACCTGGCCTCTCTGCAAGGACAGCACACTCTGCACCTGGACCAGTTCCCTTAACCCTTTCTTGAAGGATGCAGCCAAGTCTCCTGGCATCCCAAGATGGTGAGGAGACTTCACCATCTCTCAACCACCTCTCACTCCTGGCTGCTCCCCAGCCCTACTGAGATAGGCAGAACCCTCCCCAGCTTTGCAGATGCTCCAAACAGGCACCTTGTGTCACTGGCCTTCTACTCCAGGACACAAAAGCCATGGCCTAACTCCTTACTTCCTGCTGGCTCCTTCAATCCATTTCATGGGACACTGGCCCCATGAACCCACCCCGTGCTGGAGGTGCCAACACCATTGGTTCTCTCCTCCATAGGCTCCATGGAGCCCACACCTGGACCACCCTTGTCCTTCAGGCCACTCTCCTTCTCCCTCTTTCCCTCCTAAGACCTCCACCTGGTTT